CTTTCCGGCTATGCTTGATCTCCTCCAGGATGTAGTCCAGGCACCTGTAAGGCAGGACAGGTGTCTGGTGAGGCCTCTTCCCACTGGGGCAACAGGCAGCAGTGTGGCTGGGGCTGTCCCCTACCTGTGGTACATCTCGTTGGTCTTCTCATAGGTCGGGTTGATGGGATCCTCGTAGCCCATCTGAGCTGCCCTCTCTCTCTCCTGCTCCATGTAGGCGCCACGCACCAGCTTGGTGCCAAAGTGCCAGCCCTCCCGGCGCGACCGCTCCACATCCCCTGTCACATTGTTGTAAGCCTCCTGTGCCCAAGTGGAAGAGATGGCACCAAGTCATTGCTCCAGTGCCACCCCTGACTGCCTCAGCAGCTGTGCCACAACACTGCCATGGCTTCAGGAGATGAGGTCTCCATCTGTCCCCACCATTGCAGTGGGACGTGCCGGCCTCACCTTCAGGTAGCACTGGTAAGTGTTGTAGATGATGGGCTGGCTCTTGTTGAAGCGGCGCTGCGTCTCCACGGTCAGGTGGCTGATGGCTGGCTGGAAGTAGCTCTGCTCGGCATCTACCATCAGCCTCACACCCTTTTCCATGGCTCTCTGAGGAGTGAATGACACCCAGGTTGGGTTCATAGGGCTGCCTGCTCCATGTGTCCCCCCCTGTGTCTCCCCCAGCCCCAAGGCCCCCTCACCTTCGCAAGAATGTCCATGCGTTGCAGCACTCTCTTCATCTGCAGCTCCTCCTCCTCGCTGAAGCGTGACAGCAGAGGCTCCAGCTGCCCAGTCTGAAACAGGAACAGCTTTGTGGCACCTTGCCTTCACCCAGCTCTGCCCATGGGGTACACAAGCACCCCTGGAGGGAACTCATCCCCAGCACTGCTGCTCCATCCCAGTCCCCCAGCCCCCATCAGCCAGAACGGTGTGACAGAGTGCCCACCCTGCCAGCCTGCTGGTTGCACACTACAGTCACAGCATGGCTGAGCTTTGCAGCCACCAGCACCTATTGGGAAGAGCACGAGACCCTTGTCCTGCTCCCACAAACACTCTGTGGGACCACTCTGGGGGTAGCAAAGATGGGTACCCACCTTCCTGTTGGGGATGAGCAGAGGCCTGGAGAGCTTGATGCGGCTATCCAAGAGGCTGTTCCAGTCCAGCAGGTCCACAGTGCTGGGAGCAGAGAGTCAGGCCCTTGCTGATGTCTTGCAAAGGCAGGGGGCTCTCTATCAGCTCCCAAACTCCACCAGCAGGAAGGACATATGACATGTGCCACCCTGTCCTGTCTTGTCACCTCCACCCAAACTTCCCCTACGTTCCATTGCTGTACTGATCCAGAGCTGGCCTTTGGAGATCTCCCCTTGCTATTGCCCTGGGGACAGGGACAAAGTCCCCCAGCGTCCCTGCCCTGCAGCACTCCCAGCTCCCAGACAACTTACCTGCTTGTGCCTGTGAACCACTGCTGGCTCTCTGCCTTGCTTGCAATACCGAAGTTGTCCAGTGCCTCCTGCCACCAAAAGAAGTGTTGGGCCACAGGGGTCTGTCTGCTTGAGGTGTCACAGCTCAGGACTGCTCTGGCAGCTCTGTGCCCATGGCCACCTCCAGCAGTGCATCCCTGCAGCACAGCCTCCTCCCACAGGCATCACCCGCCTCACCTGCAGCTTCTCCAGCTCCAGCTTTGTGTCCAGTACTGCCCACCCGGCCTGGCCCTGCTCTGCGGCCATTTGGTGGAAGAACCTCCGCCACTTCACCAGCACCTCTGAGAACCGCACCTGTGGGGACAGGCCTCCAGGTGAGACACCCAGGCTGGAGCCTCCTGTCCTGCCAGGGCTTTGCAAGACCACACCCAGCCCAAGGCAGATGCTGACCCCAGAGCAGGGCACCTTGGCCAATCCAAGCAGTACCAACCCTACATTCCCCTTCATGTTGGGGCCTTTAAAGTTCTAAGCTCTTTGTGTCTTCCCAAAAGTTGAAGCAGGGTCTGCAGGGGTCTTGGGCCCACCGGGGACAGGCTGTTAGTGCCCACTCCTCACTGCCATTACTAGAGATGCCTCCTGGCACCTGCTCCAGCAGAAGCATCATCTGTGGCCCTGGCTCTGCCCCACCATACTCTGTCACAGCTCTGGCACTCACCAGGAACTGGGGTCTGGCCAGTGCTGTCAGCTTGATGGCAGAGAAGCCGTCATCTGAACTGCCACCTGCATGGAACCACAAGGACAGAGTCAACCTAACATCAGCCCTCAGGCAGGAGAGATATGGTGGTGGTGGGACTGAGAGATCCTTGCAGCCCCCAGAACAGTGGGGCTGTCCAGGACACATGGAACACTCACTTGAGGCATCAATACAGCGGAGGAAAGTCTCCATGTGTTGGTCACACTTGGCCTCGTCAGCATAGAAATAGGTGTGGGCACCGGTGACTCCACCATGGTGATCCCCAAATCCCTGATGGGCTCGGTATCGCTTCTCCCTTTTTACTGCACCTGGGGTGGAAGAGGATGGAGATGGGCTATGCCCCACCAAGCTCCTATGGCCTCCCCAGGAGCTTCCAGTGTGGGTGAAGGGGAGAGAGGCTCTGGCTTGGACATCAGAAGAACCCCCAGCGCTGACACAGGCTCTGCTTGCTCTGTGCCTGAGCATAGGCTGAGTCTTTGCTGAGGGGCAAGACTCGGCCAGGAACCATATTCTTCATCCAGCTCATTTTTTGAGGCTGTGGTACCTGGGTCCTTCCCCCACAACACCAGGCCTGAAGTGCCCAGGCCTCCAGGCTATCTCCTGTCACTCACCTCCCATCTCCTTCTCGGCTGCAGAGGTGCGGGAGCTAAGAAGAGAAACAGGAAAGATAAGGGCCAGGTCAGCAACCTCCTGCAACCCTACACTGATGGACAGGGCAGCTCTGAGGCTCCTGTGCAGCCATCCTGCTGTTCCCTTGCCATCCCATTGCCAATGGGATCCAACTGTCAATTCATATGCCTGAAAGCCACCTGTGGAAGGGAACAGGGCTTCACTATCCATCCAGGGAAGACCTGGGAGCCCTGAGGCAGCACCATGAAGATGCCCCATCCCAGGGTTCAGAGCTGCTCTCCAAAAGCCCACTCCATGGCAAGGACAAGGTCAGTCTGGTGGGGCTGGCATGCTCCATCTCCAACCTGCTCATGGTCCTTGCTGTGGTGACATCAAGCCTCAACCCACTGCCTCCTAAACTTAATAGCACCAGCAGCCAGACCACAAAGCACAGAGCTTCTCCAGACCCTGAGCACATCAAGCCAAGGGTGCCCTGCTGCCCCATGCTTCTCTGTGCCATGGCTTCAGCCAACAACTCACAAACAGTGTCTCGTTTTCAACTCCAGCTGACCTTGGATGTCATTTTTATCCCAATCTGTCTGCCATGGATAACAGGGTTCTTACAGCCTGGGGGATGCTGGCCAAGTCAAGAGATCCTTGCTGAGCTTGAGTAGCTAAGCCTTCTTGCTGACACCCTAAGCCCAGTCACAGACCCAGGGCCAGCCCCTGGAGAGCAGCCCTGGATGGCAGCAGGGCCAACTCCTCCAGGAGGTGTCTGTCTTGGCATCCTTGTCCCCAATCTGGCCGTGCCCAATGGGGAAGAAGCACAGTGTGAGGGAAGCAGCAAAGCCACCCATCCAGAGCCAGCAGGCCTGGACAAGAGAGCAGAGAGGCACATGGCATGGTCCCAGGACATGTTCTCTCATGTGGAAACCCTGTGACAGGGATTAGGGGCTGCTGGAAGCATAAACAACTGGGAAGAAAGCATTCTCTCTGGTCCCCTGGAGCCAGGAACAGCCCCACATCGCTCAAAGTGCCACAAAGCCTGGCTTGAGCCAGGGCAGGAGCAGCTGGAGCTCATGGGAAGCAGCAAGCTCCATATCTAGCAGACTCTGCTTCCTGACTTTACTCATTTGAGGACAGGGAAAACAGCTTTCTGTCTATGAGTACAGAAAGAGGGTGGAGGAAAGGGAGGAGGACAGATCATACTCTCAGAAATGGGATTTGTCAGCAAAGCCCTTGCTAGGTAGAAGCTCCCTTTGAAGCAGGCAGCATGGCATAGGGGACAGCTTCAGCTGAATACTGCTGTGACATGAAGGCATACAGAGACATGGGTCCTGTGAGCAGGGGACAGCTCTGAGCCCAAGGCACATCTTGGGTACAACATCCAAGGTACCAGGGATAAGTGGCTGGAGTGAAAGCATACAGCTCAAATAGCAAACAGCACCCTTGGAGTTGGTGCTTTATGTTCCTGAAGATAAACACACCCTTCCCAGGAGTATTTCTGCTGCATGACTGCACCAGCTGTTCCTTCATCCTCTAGGGGGGCATTCAAAGCAGTGCCACGGTGCTCGCTTTGTTCTTCTGCGCCAAGCAAAATAAAGGAAGCTCCTTCCAGCTGAAGAAATAAGTTCATCCTGGACATCAGCTGCTCGCTTTGCAATATTAAGCTTGGCCAGCAAAACCATTCCCTCACCCACCAAGTGCCACTAAACCCAGCTTATACCTGACCATCCCTTCTGCAATCCCACAAGTCTCCCAGAGCAGGTCTCATCTCCAGCTGCTGTCCAGATGCTCCTGGCAGGCTGTATCCAGACAGGAACAACCTCAAGGTTGAGCTCAGGGCCTGGGAGCTCACACTTGCCTAAAGCAGGTTGTGAGGACTTGCTGGATGGCTGGGAAGGATAATCCAGCTGACACAGCAGATGGGGCTTTCAGGAAGTTTTGGATCAGGATAAGTAAACCAGCTCAGGAGCAGCACAAAGATCCCACTGTCAGAAATAATCCCTTTGGCCCTGGAGGTTACCCGGAGGGTGCCAGCAGCACAGCATGTTTGCTTTGCTCAGCAGCAAATGGGTCTGGCAAAGGGGATGAGGGATCAGGGAGAAGCTGTCCTTGAATTACTACATCCAAGGAAAAGACTCGTGGTTACATGAAGCCCATTTTGGAGGTATGCGTGGTGCTTAAAATCCCACAGGTAGGAATAAAGGAAAGCTTTTGGCAGAATAGACCAACCTGCTCCAGTGGGAGTTGTCAGCACACACCAGCCCAGGACCACCACAGGATCACCTTGGAGAGCTTCAAGCTAAACAGAAGCTGCTCCATTATCCCAGGCACATGCTGACAGAGCACAGGTGGCAGCAGCACTGGAAACAAGAGGAGAAGGGGAGGTGGCAGCTCTGGGAGCAGCATTGGCCAGGCTGGGGACAGTGAACCCACACTGAGACAAGTGCCAGATATCCACACAAGGAATTTTTAGAGGAAAACAATTTCGCACTCTGCATGGCAGTCTGAAAAGCATCTGACAATGCTAGGGGCAGGATAGTTCCTCCACTGTGTCAGCACACCCCTAATCCATCTGCAGTCTTGGGATGCCTGGGGGCCAGCAATGGGCCCAAGACTGCCAGGGGGCTACCACCACCTCCACGCTGTTTCACCCCACAGGTACCAGAAGCTCCTGCTGAGTGTGGCCTCTCCAGCCCCACCCAAAGCTGCAGCCACGCTGAAGCCACACTGAAGCCCCAGCCCTCTGCTGCCTGCAGGACACTTATTTTCCAGCTGTGTCACCATGACCTGGCAGCAGCCTTCAGCACGTGGCTGAGGCCTCCTGGGACAAGCTGGCAGACTCCTGGATACCAGCCTAAGCAGGGCAGGCAGGGGCCTGCAGCAGGCAGGATAAGCCAGTTCTTGCCCACTTTGCATTGTTGTTCCCAGCCAGGAAGGCTGTGGAAGAGGTGCCACAGCCCATTGCTAGGTTGGAAAGGGTATTTCCCTGCCATTACATCGGGCTTGCTCCAGAAGAACAATGAAAGACAGCATAAAGAGGCCAAAATACTCACTGACTGCTGTGTTTTGTGACTCTGCTTCCTGGCTGGCAGCAGCACAATCCTGAAGCATTCACCAAAGGAAAGGACACAGCTCCAGAGTCCAGCAGTCAAGAACGCAGGACTCCCCACCCTTCTCAACCACATGCAGCCCAACTCAGCACTAGCCCTAGAAAAGCACTGAGAATTTGGGATTTTAACCCAAACAGAGCCAGGGAGGACCCAGAATGATGGTTGGCAAGGAACACCATTCAACATAACCCTTCCAATGCCACCCTGGGCTTGGTACCTGTTCATAGAATTATAGAACATTCTGAGGTGGAAGGGACAAATGAGGACATCAAGTTCCACTCCTAGCCCTGCAGACGACAACAATCCTACCTTATGCTGATTGTCAAAATTCTCCTTGAGCTCTGGCAGCCTTGGGACTATCCTCTGGGTGAAGACCCTTTTCCTGATATCCAGGCAAATCCCACTGGGACTTGGGCAGGGATGCATTGGGAACTCTCTTGGATCTGAATGGCCCACACAGCACTGGGAGAACTCACCTAGCCAGGAGTACCACATGTACAAACCCCAAGTCTGCAGCAGGAGAGGAGCAGCACAGCCCAGCCAGCTCACAAACCACTGCCACCCATCAGCAGGAGGGGTACAGGCGTAGGCAGAGCCTGTCTGAAAGTCTTCTATGGACACCACAGGAAAGCCCTTGTGCCTAGGCACAGCCAGGCATGGAGGGCAGCAGTACCAGCCTGGCAGCACCTGTGCTGCTGGCTCAGCCTCATGGGAATGCTGAACTCTACCCCGACCATGCCTGCATGTCCAACGGAGAAACACCTGGCTATATACCTTCAAACCAGCCGCCCTCCTGCCAGGAAGCATCAGGGTGTTTTGAAGCTTTTCTAGAAAGCCTCCAAAGTTTGCCGCCCACTCTGGGATGGCACAGCTCTCCTTCCCCCTGCCCAGCTCCTGTGCCCACGCTGCCCTCACCAGTGTCTGCTCCCATCATGGCCACACAGACCCTTCACTCCCGGGGATGTATGGCAGCAGCAGTGAGGGGCAGTGGCAGCCGCCATGGCACATGGGGGTCCCCGATAAGCAATGTTCGGGTGTGGACCAGAGATAACGCTCCCAGCAGCAGCACCTGCATCACCACCCTGACTCACATCCTGCTAGCGAACCACCCTAAAAAGCCGTTCCGGCTGGGTTTTGAACACCACGTGACAAGCGTATGACAGCCGGACGGTGTCCCCAGCTACCAACAGGGACTGCCGCTATGCAGCTTTGCCCGGGGGACGGCGCATCCCCAGCCAGAGTCCTCCGGAAGGGCAACCTTTGTCGCGGGGAGGGGGAACACCGCCCACCCCCGTGACAGCGGCGTGCCGGCCAGCGGCCCATCGATCTGGAGAGCTCAGCGGAGCGGAACTGCAGCCTGAATAATGGAAAATTACCGGCAGCTTTGGGTTGAAGCCAGCTCTTGGCAGAGGGCGGGAGACAGTGAAGGCTGCCAGGGACTAGGGGGCATTACGGGAAGTGGGGCACCACCCCAGCTTGAGAGAGATGGAAATGGTGGAGGGTGGAAATCATGGAATCGTGGCACTGTTAAGATTGGAAAAGAGCTCCAAGACCATCGAGTCCACCAAAATGTATGAGGCAGCATGCCATTGTTTGTATGGTGGGGGATAGAGGGAGCAAGAATGGGGGTCAGCATCCCAATTGGAGGGGGGAAGAGGGACTTCAGGCATGACAGCAACGCTGCCTGTCTCTGTGCAGATGTCTGGGGGGGGACACAGCGCCCTAGGGGGTTAGGGGAAATGGGACGTGGCTGGTAGCACCCGAGAGAGAAGATGGAATGGGTGGCGTCAGCGTCCCATAGGAGATGAAGAATAGAGGTGGGAACCCCCTCAGGGTGTGCAGGAGGGTTTGGGGTGTACAGCACCGCCGGAGACGGGTTGAACTCTGCTGTGTGCAAGGGAATAGATGGGGACAGAGAGGGGGCAGCACCCGGTATGTGCAGAGGGGCGAGTGAGTGATTACAGCCTAGTGCGAGCCCCGCAACCCTGTGTGCAGGACTCAGCCCTCTGCCGTGTGCGGGTCACAGCCACCGCCGTGTGCGGGCACTGCCATCCCCGTGCTCCTGGCACTGCCATCCCATTGCCATCTCCGTGCTCCGGGCACTGCCATCCCACTGCCATCCCCGTGCTCCGGGCACTGCCATCCCTGTGTTCCGGGCACTGCCATTCCCGTGCTCCGGGCACTGCCATCCCACTGCCATCCCCGTGCTCCGGGCACTGCCATTCCCGTGCTCCGGGCACTGCCATCCCACTGCCATCCCCGTGCTCCGGGCACTGCCATCCCTGTGTTCCGGGCACTGCCATCCCACTGCCATCCCCGTGTTCCGGGCACTGCCATCCCGTTGCCATCCCCGTGCTCCGGGCACTGCCATTCCCGTGCTCCGGGCACTGCCATCCCATTGCCATCCCCGTGCTCCGGGCACTGCCATCCCCGTGCTCCGGGCACTGCCATCCCATTGCCATCTCCGTGCTCCGGGCACTGCCATCCTCGTGCGCGTGCCATGGGCGGTGGCGGGGGGGCGAGGCCGTGACGCAGTGGCGCTGCAGCCAATGGGAGCGGGGGGCTGGGCAGGCGCAGCCAATGGCAGCGCGGCCAGCTGCGGCCCCCCGGCCCGCCCAGCCCCGCACTCACCGCCCGTCGCCCAGGTCCTCCTCCACGCTGTAATCCAGCACGGCGCCCACGCCGAACGCCTGGTTCCGCCGGAGCAGCGGCTTGATGGCCTCCTGGTCCTCCCCGGCCACGAACTGCCCGTAGAACGTCATCTTCATCAGCCGCTCGAACAGCGTCTGCCCCAGCACCCGCTGGCACAACTGCAGCAGCTGCGGGACAGCGGAGGCTCAGCACCCGTCCCGCACCGGCACCCCCGGAGGAAAAGTCCCCACGACCCAGGACTGGCATCCCCAGCCCGGGTCCGAGAGCTCCACAACACGCGCGCCCTCAGACGGAGAGTCCCTCCGGAAGGGGAATGACACGTCCCGAAATGGGCACCTCTAGGGTGAGAGCCTGTCCAGCCCAGGACGGGCAACCCCCCAGAGTGAGAGTATCCCTGGCACGTACCAACATCCTGCAAAACAGGCATTCTCCCGGAACGAAAGATCCTCCCATTTGGAGCAGTCACCCCTGGAGCGACAGAACCCCCATCCCACACCGACACGTCCGAAAGAGGCACTCCCCATCCTGGGACTCGCAATTCCAAAATGGAATTCCCCGGAGCAAGAATCCCCTCCAGAAGGGGACTGACACCTCCCGGAGCGGGCGGCCCCTGAGCGAGAGCTTCGCCGGTCCAGAGCCGGTAACCCCCTGAACGGGGACAAACTCCGTCCCGGAGCAGCCCCACCGAGCTGGACCCCTTCCTCCACCCACCTCCCGGTTGTGCTGCACCAGTGGCTCCAGGGCGCACAGCCCCAGCACCACCAGCCCCCGCAGCAGCTCCGCGTTGCTCTTGCTGCGGAACGCCTCCTGCGGGTCCTCGAAATCCACGGCGGGCGGCGGCGGACCCCGCTCAGCGCCCCGCGGGGGAGGAAGCGGCCCCGGCCGAGGTCCCGCGCCCGCCGCCGCCGGGGAGAACCCGCGAGGGGCGGCGGCGGGCGCGGAGCGCGGGCGGCTCGGGTGATCGCACCAGCGAACGGCGGCGCGGAGCGCCCGGGCGGCACTCGGGAGAGCCATGGGCACGGCGGGGCCGCCGCCCGCCGCCGCCTTAAGTACGGCCTGCGCGGGACCGCCCCCGGGCCCCGGCTTCACGGCCCCGCTCCGCCCCGCCTTTGGCCGCGCTCTGCTGCCATCGGAACCGGCCCCGCGCCCCGGCACCGCCCCGGCACTGCCCCGGCACCAGCACCAGCACCGGGACTGGGACTGGGAGTGATTCTAGGATCGGCACCAGCCCCGGCAGCGGGACTGGGAATGGGACTGGCACGGAGACAGGAATCAGCACCACCACGGGGAGGGGAACTGGGATCAGGATCGGCACTGGGACTGGGACTGATTCCAGGACTGGCACGGACTCGAGGACAGGGACCGGCAGCGGGACTGGGAACGGGACCGGCACCAAGACCGAAACCGGAAGCGGCACCAGGACTCGGACCTGGACAGGGACCGGGACCAACACTGGCACCGAGATTGACACTGGGACCGGAACTGCGATCAGAACCGGGACTCCCACCAAGACGGACACTGGGATAAGTACCGGGTCGGGGGTAGGAGCTGGGACTGGCAAGGTCAGGGGGCCAGCACCAGGACTGGAGCTGCCCTGCCCAGCGCGCCCCACTCCCGCAGCCACCTGCCCCGTGCCTTCCCCATTCCCATCCCCTTGGAGCAACCGGTCCCGGGGGCACCTCCCTCCTGGAAGCCCCAGGAAGGGCCTGGAGGGGCAGATGCGGCTCGAGGGGAGCCCTGGTTGGAGAGAACTCTTCCTTGGAGCAGTGCTGGGAGCGGGGCAAAGAGGCCCTCATACCTTTGGAGGAGCCCTTGGGGAAATGATGAAGGTCCCAAGGGAGACTTGAAGTGGTCCCTGAAGGGGACCTTTGCGGAGCACCGGGGCCAACCCTGCAGGGCCAAGGGGCTACTAACTGCTCAGGGCAGCCTCAGAGAGGGCCAAAGGATGTTTCAAAGGGTGCTTGTTCCCTCGTAGTCATGCATGGGGCAGGCTGTGGTCCAGCCTGTGGAGCTAGAAACACCCGGAGAAAGATCTCAGACCTGAGGGACCTGTCATGGGAGAGACCTTTCAGGCCCCTGTACTTGCTTCTCCTGATGTGTGAGTGAACAGTTTGGGGGTTTCAGCTGAATTCTCATTTGGTCGGGGTCCATAGGTGCTTGGGTTGCTTGAGGCAGCAGACTTGGCTCCCTCGTCACGGGCTGTTGGGCTTTGCCTGCTCCACGGAGCCCTAAAGAGGGCTGGCAGGACCTCGGGATCTTCCCAGGCAGGGCGAGTGCCTGTCCTACTCCTGGCAGGCGTTTGCCTGAGCTGTTCCTCCCCAGCACACCCAGTGCTGAACTCCGGAGATTACTGAGCACCTCCCTGACACCCTGTGGCCAGAAGAGCTCTCGAGTCTTGGCCTGGCAGATCAGGTACCTCCCTTTGTTTTCGCAGGATTGTTTCACAGCAGCAGCACAGCTGCATGCTTTCTCTGTGCCCGTGTGCCTTCTCTGTGCTCTCATCCCTTCTCTTGTGCCCACGTCCTCTCTCTGTGACCATATTCCTTCTCCATGCCCACCTCTCCAGCCTCGTTTATAGTGGCTCCCGGAGGAAGACTCCGGGCTGATGCAGAGCTGTCCAAATCCAGCTCCTCAGTGACATCTTGTGCTGGGAATGCTCAGCGCAGACAGGAGATGGGAAAATTAGTTCCTGCAATTGTTCTTTCTTGCCCTCCCCCACTCTGACATTGCTGTAACCAGCAGTGAAATCTCGGGGATTCCCTGAGCTCGTTTGTAAAGTTTTCTTTGAGAACATCTTGTCCTTCAGCTGAGACAGCCAGACAGCGGCATTGCCTCTGACAGAGCTGGGTATAAAACTCTGGAAAAGCATCCACTTCCTTCAAAACATTCCGTCTGTTGACTTTTTTGTGCCATTTAGTGATATTAATAATTCACCCAAAGTTCCTCGCCGTGATGAGACTGCATATATGAATTTTTGGGATGCAGTTCAAACCTTGTTTCTCAGTCAATTGCCATAGAAAATTCCCTTCAAAGGCTCTAATGGCACCGGTCACTCCTGGGAAACACTCGCCTGGTCTTGGCAGGGAAAGTGCTGCCTGCTGTGCCAGCAGAGCTGAGGCCCTGCTGCATCCAGCTGGGTGCAAAACAACGTCTGAGTTTCTGAAGAAACTTCTTTAGTCTCAGAGCCAAACTCAGAGATGAAATGTTAAAAAGCCACTTTTTGATGGAAATGAAATCTGGTGAGGTTTCTCTCAGGATGGTGATACCTGAAGCAGAGGAAATCCCTGAGCTGGCAGCCCTGCCAGTGGCAGGGACACCAACAAGGGGTGCTCCAGGCTGCTGTAGGGACCATAACCAAGCCCTCATGGGTCACCGTGGCCTTGCAGAGCACTGACCCCCCCCAGCTCCTAATCCCCCTTGGCTGTGACATTATGCCCTCAAGGCCACTGTCCCTGTCCCCACCATGCCCAGGCAGGTGCTGCTGGCACAGAGGGACCCTTCTCACAGTGGCTGCAGCTGGGATGGGAAGCTCAGTCCAGCCCGTGGCTGGAATACACATCCCAGACACAGCCATGCTGCAATATTCCACATGGGCAACATAGCCGAGGCTGGACAGCACACATCCAAGTCCTTCCTTGAGAACTCTCCCTGCACCAGCCATGGGAATAAACCCAGGAGTAGCTATTATGGATGGCTTGAGAAGCCATAAAATGTGAAAAAACATTTGAATGTGAGACAAACAGGCGAGGAGGGAATTTGGCACAGGAGAAGATGCAGTTTAGAAGGGGAGGCCACGCCATGCGTATTTCATGGGCCAGCCCTCAGCAGAGGCTGCTTTGACACCATAAACATCACAGATGGCAAGGAGTAACAGCAGCTGCTCCCAGCATCTGGGAAGGAGAACCTGTGGGATCATCACTCCTTCTGGCTCATGGTAGAAGTGAGCAAGGGCACAGGATCTGGAAGCTGCTGGCTCTGCTCCCCGGGTATGGGACCAGCCTTCCTCACTCTCCTCTTCCTCCAGCCCTGTGCCACGCTGGGGCAAGCCTGCCCCATCCTTGTGGCTGGGGCTCTGTCCTCACTGTCCCACAGCTCTGTGAGCCCTCCAGCCCTGCTGCCCCAGCACCCTGTGCTTCCAGCATTGCTCCTCTGAGGTTTCCTTGAAGAGGGCTGACTCAGGTCCTCCTCTATCAGCTATTTCTGACTGACCATATGCCTGACTCTTGCCCAGCACCCGTGCTGCCAAATTATTCCCACCACAGGCCAGCATGTAGGAGGGATACCTGCACCCTGTGGAATCAAGGTGGATCCTCAGCTGGCCTCTGGCTCTGCCACAGGTGCCCCTTGGAGCAGCAGGCGCTGCAGTCCAGGATCTGGTGGGTCAGAGACTGACGTGGATCCACTAGCAAAACCCAGGAGAAGATGGACTTGAGGACGGCACTTCCTGAATTGCAGCCCCATGTGGGTTCTCATCTTGTAGGGGGTTATTTTTCTTCACAAGAGGCTTCATCTCCCTCTATGCAACTCTTCAGGGAGAACTCCAGATCCACTACTGCCCATTCTGAGGGGATAAACCCCTGTGGGATGCACAGAAGCTCCCAGCCTTAGGATGGTGTGTTTAGATAATGAGTTGGTACTCTCTGACCCCTGCAAAGCACCCTGTCAGCCTCAGTGTCACCCTCCTGGGGGTGACTGACTTGTGCCATAGTATGGACAACACTCTGGCAGCAGGATGGAGGAACCAGCCTTCCTTCTCACAGTTGGGGAACCAGGGAACTGCATCCTTTCCCTTGCACTTGGTGCTGCAGAGGGTCCAGGAGGTTCAGCTGCTCCAGCAGGATTAGGGATGATCCCCATCCAGATGTGGCACAGGCAGGTGAGGCTGCAGCACTCGGTGTCCTGCCTCCGTGAGACCAGAATAGGAGTCTTGGGAACTTGCTGGTCACCTGGGGGGTCACAGAATGGGAACTCCAGCTTCTGGTGTGTTCCTTTGGGTTGGGAGCCCTGGATAGAGCAGCTGAGAGCTGCCACAGACCCTGCAGAGGAAAGAGGTGCTGGCTGGGTGGCTCCTCTTGCAGCTGATCTCCTGGCCAGCCCAGACCTTGCTCTCCCAGCATGGCTGGGATTTTGAAAGCTAGGCTGTATTCTGATCCCTGGCATTTTTCCACTTGCATCCCAATGATTTTTGGTGAATCACTTGCAGCCTAAGAAATAAATGCCCTCTTGATTCTTCCTGTGAGTTCTGGGGTGCAGCTCAGCAGCCATGAGGAAATACCCCCGTGAATTCCTGTCTCCATAAAGGTCAATGCTATCACAAAAATAAATTGCCTCTGAAAGGAAACCTAGGAAATATCCAAAGCAGGGAAAGACACATCAGACTTACCACATCAATTAATTTTTTTTTTTTTTTTTGAAGAGAGTCCTCTTTCCATCCACTGGCAGAAGGGAGCCATGTGAGATGTCCACAAGTGTGCTTGGGGGGAAAGGAACATCAGTGAAGACCTGAAACAATTTTGCTGCTCTTACAGCTGAGAAAGGATCATGCTGGAAGGTTTCTGTGGAAGTGGAGCCTGGGGAATGGACATGAAAAGCCTTTTTTCCCAGCTGACTCCCTTGGCAGGTGAATTGTTTACAGAGTCAGGATGCCAGAGTGCCTGGAAGGGAGCCAGCTCTATTTTAGCCCTTTGTAAATGATTTAAACACCTCGTGCTGGGGGCACATTCCCAGGAAAGGGGCTGCTTGGCTTTTCTTCCTGGGTGTGCCAGGGGTGTGCAGGAGAGGTGGAAGGCAGAAGGAGCCAGCCCTGGCAGGGACAGCAGGAGTGTGTAGTGGGGATGGCTGTGCCCCTCCTGTCCCCCAAGAGCTGCTGCTGAGACCTGAGCCAGCTGCTCCTAGTCCAACTGCTCAAAGGCATCCTCCCAAACGCCGCCCAGGTGATGTTCCTAAGGAGCCCCTCTATTTTTTTGCCGCCTTTGCCTGCCAGGAGCATCCCCTGGGAAGGCAAATGGAATCGAAGGTCCCAAGTGCCCTGTGGGACCCTAGTGAGGTGAGGACATGGGGCAGAGCTCCCTGCAGCACCTGGGGACAATCACACATCATGGGGCTGGGGACTCCTGAGGCTGGAGCAGGGCAACTCCAACACCCCTTACCCTTGAGGAGCTGGCTGCTCCTTATTGATTAATGTGGTGGCTCATTTCTCTAAAAATAGGCTCTTAATTACTGAGCCTCTGGAAACAGAGTTGTCTCACAGAAAAACCTGATTAATTCAACAGCAGCTGCAGCTCCAGCGAGGGTCTGGTGGCCACAGAGCCTGGATGACCCCTGCCAGAGACAGCTCCTGGCCAGAGGGGGTTTCAGGATGGTTCAGATCAGTTCTCAGCTCACAGATGATGGATATTTGTTTTTTCCAAGTGTCACTTGGTTTTGCTTCTTAACTTTCTGTGTGTGTAATTGCAAGCAAGTGGCAGTGAGGGGCACTTGGACTTCTCTTCCACTGGAACAAAATGGGAGGAAAAAATGTTAATTTTTCCCTAGTGCTCCTGAACTGTCTGCACTGAAGTGAAAAAGCTGCTCTGGTTTCTTTATTTCTTTCTTTTGTGTTATTTTCCCACATTCTTCCTTTACATTGACTAATACTTTGTGGGAGCCTTTATGCTTTTCCCTTATTCTCCTGTCCCAGATAAGGTGTGCAAAATCCTAAAAAGGCTGAAAAGATGAAAAATAAAGAAAATAGAATTGAATATAGATTTATTTTCTGTAGTTGTTTCATCTCTCTGAGTTTGGGTTCTTGTGTCAGGAGTGTCTTGTCCTGTCCTGGGGATGGAGATGGGGTATTTGAGAGCCCTGTGGTCCCCCACCCTCCCACAAGCACCACAACCTCTGTGCAGCTGAGTGTGGCGAGGAGAATACAGGGGCATTCTGAGACAAATTAAGGAGAAAAAGGGAAGAGTGGCTGCAGTTGTTGGCTGCCAGCACTGGCCTTGCCTCCCTCCCTGGCCAGCCTGAAGGCCATCTGTCACTGACAGATCAGCTGGACACCTCTCTCCATTTCCATCTGCTCCCGTTCAGGCTCCACGTCTGCTGTGCCTCCCTCCTCCTCCATGTCCCCCGTGGGCTCTGTCCTGTGATCCCAGCCAGTCCCTGCCCCAGAAGTGGGATGGGCACCGCAGGGAGAGCTCAGAGAGCCCTGAACTCCACATCCAATCCCACGGGTCCTTGCTCACTGCATGGGCTCATAAGTTTTTTTCACCATTTATGTTTTATATATTTCAAGGCTGAATCTTTCACTCTCGTGATTGTGTGGCTTCATTTTTCTCATTCAAAGTTTCTTCCAACTGAAATTTTATGGGTAATGCTTTAATTCTTTGCCCAAGGAGGTATCAAAGGGAGCATCCCTCCTCAGAGTGATTCAAGCCATGGCATCCACAGGGGAGGCTCACCTTGCTGATCCCCATTCCTGCTATGCCACAGCTGTGACAGCCACCCCAGAAGGGGGAGAACACAGGACAGAGCCTCTCCAGAGCTCTGGAGGATGCTCACCAGGACAGCCAGGGGACACTGGGCCTAGGACAGCAGTGCTGGCAGCTGTCACTAGAACTCACACCTCGACTCTGTGAGAACTCAAATAGTTTTTCAACATCACCAGCCAAATTTTCTGCAGATTTTCCTGGGGATGGGGGAAGGCAACACTCCCAAATCCCTGTTCCTCAGGCTGGCAACATGATTGCTTTCCACTGGAATGACAGATTTTTTTTTTTCTTAATGCAGGCCAAATTAACTTTCTCTCATTAGAACTGTTGATACAGCTGGAAAAAGTGAGCTCTCTCTCCAAAGCCTCATCTGCCAGTGAAGGGCAGCATCCTCCCAGCAGATCTCAGGGTGTTTGGCTGCCCCAGCTTCTCGTTCCTTTTGCTGTGTCCCTCTGCACTGGAACTTGGAAATAAAAATACTCCAGAATGGAAAATTTCAGGCCTAAAGGGTAAAGTTGGACAGAATCTAGGTGGGACTTGGCAGAGAGACCCAGCAAAGGTTGCTCCTTGTGCTGACATTTTTGGTCTGTGCTTTGGAGAGCTTCTCTGCAGCTCTGCTCCAGCCAGGTCAGGGTCTGCCAGTGTAAGAGATGATGTTAACACCACAACATGTGACTTTCTTTGGATTTTCCCAATTTTTTTTTTTTTTCAGAAGCAGTGGTCTTCCATGCTGTGGGGATGGCTGTCCCATTAGCCACCCCACTCTCACAGGCGGCCCAGAGGCTTTGGTCCTCTGGCTGCTTGTGCACAGCAGACACTGCACGTCTGTGGTAGCACCAGAACAACCCTGACACAGCCCAGAAATATCACCTGATGGAAATGAGGAACTGGGATTTTGTTGCAAGCTCTGGTTACAGGAAACCAAAACCAAAAAGCTACTGTGTATCCGTGTGTTGCTCCCTCCCAGACGCACGAGGGTGCTTTGAACAAAGGACATGTAGAGACATGCAGAGACTGCTGTGACTCCATCTCCCCCTGAGAATTCTTCCACTCAGGTCTTGCCAGAGGATGCCAACCCATCCTTGCAAGGTTTGAGGAGCTCTGCAGAAGGATCTTCATGGGCTGTACTGAGTCCTGGGCTCCTCTGCACCAGGAAGGGCCCCACAGAACTCCTTGGGGACCTCATGAGTCACTGAGAAAGTCCCCAGGTGCTGAGGCCAAAGGCCTCAAAATTCACCTGTGGAGAAACAAGGTTAGATCTGAGTCATTCCAAGGGTTTAAACCATTTTTGTGTTACTAAAAAGATTTCTTTATACTCTGGATATTTTTCTTTCAGCAAAGGAGAGAGGTGAAAAGAAAAAAGCAATTTGAAGATGAGAGATGAATCTGCTCTGGTGTAAGTTTGGAGAAGTCATCACCAAATTTGATGTGGGATTGCTGTCCTCTCCTTCCCTCCAGGGAGCACTGTGGCATCTCCTTTCCCCTAGATTTTGGAGAGAACGGATTTGTGTTTCTTACCCAGAAACAGAAATAAAGCTCCAACAACCTGCTTGTGCAGATCTCTTGTTCCCTGCTTTGCTGACTGTGTTCCTTCATCAGGAGGATGACAAGCGGCCAAAGACACACCAGGGCCTGTGCATGGTCAGGAAGGGGCTGCTCATCTCTAGAGAGGTGGCTGTGCTTTTGTCCCAGAGCAAAGGTGCTTAAAGCACCATGATGCAGACGTGATCCTTAGTAGATGCTCCTGTCCCTCCATGGGTCACATCACCCACTCGAGACAGCATCGCAGCTTGGACATGATTTTGGGTGGAGCACAAGGCGGTGGCAGTGGTTCCTGGCTGTCCTGTGCTGAGGGGGCAGCTGGGAGCAGCCAGGAGGGCGAGCTGAGGCTGGCTGTGGGTTGGGTGTGCTGGTGGAGCTGTTGGAGAGAATTCAGAGGAGGCTCTGAGAATGCATGGAGATGTTCTGAGGCCTTGGAGCCCCTCTGCTCTGGAGCCAGGCTGGGAGAGCTGGGGCTGCTCACCTGGAGAAGAGAAGGATCCAGGGAGAGCTCAGAGCCCCTTCCAGGGCCTAAAGGGGCTCCAGGAGAGCTGGAGAGGGACTGGGGACAAGGGATGGAGGGACAGGACACAGGGAATGGCTTCCACTGCCAGAGGGCAGGGCTGGACGGGATATTGGGAAGGAATTGTTCCCTGGCAGGGTGGGCAGGCCCTGGCACAGGGTGCCCAGAGCAGCTGTGGCTGCCCCTGGATCCCTGGCAGTGTCCAAGGCCAGGTTGGACATTGGGGCTTGGAGCAGGCAGGGACAGTGGGAGGTGTCCCTGCCCATGGCTGGAGTGGCACTGGATGAGCTTTGCGGGTCCCTGGAGCATTCCCGGTTCCACACGGAGGGGCAGGGTCAGTGGCGGCTCTCGGCCGCTCGGTGGCGCTGCGGCCCCGCTGCCCGGGGACCCCGCGAGCTCCGGCTGCCCTCGGGAACCGCGGCCTCGTCCGGCTGTCCCTGCCCCTTCCCGTTGCGTGTCCCCATCCCCAGCCCACGGTGTGGCCTGCTCTGGAAGCGGCTGCTCTCGTGAAGTTTTCCAGCCTCAGCCCCTCAGGCTCCTCCAGCATCTGCCGCGATCTCCCCTCAACCCTCCCTCAGCAGAGCTCTGGGGGCCCTCCAGTTCTCATGAAAACTATGCAGTTATCCTGCTGTCCTCTAAGAAACTCCGGTTATCCAGCTGGCCTCTAGCTGAGGTGTCCTGTCATCTATCCTCCAGCCTGAGCCCGGGCTCTTCAGGCAGCAGGGTGAGCAGTGCGCAGGAGTGTTCAGCTCTCCCATAGTAGGGGTGGAATTCGTGAGGTGTCAGGGACTGGAGCCCCAAGGTGGCTGTCCCAGGTGGGTGGCACTGAGGCTGCCCTTGGATGGCTGCACCAATTCCCTCACTGCCTGCCTGCACCAGGGCTCCTGCAGGGTGCTGGGAGGGCCAAGTGGGCTGGGGACACCTGGGCTGTTCCCTGTTCATGTGCTATGGGACATGGCAGCTGAAAGAGCCTTTCTCCTCTGTGTGCTGCCATCCAGCCCCAGCAGAGCCAGAGCCCGTGTGGGATGGTGCTGGGTGCTGGGGAGCAGGGCTGAGCACACGCAGGGCTGTGCAGAGAGTGTCTGTGTGCATCCTGGAGGTGCACACGAGGGGGATTCGGGCAGAGAGGAGTGTTTATTGGGGTACACACATGCCCGGAGGGTGGGAGGAGGAAGGGGTGTGTGCATGGAGCAGTGCCCAGCAAGACCAAGTGGGTCCATCAGCCCTGTCCCTGCTCTGCCCCAGGAGCTCCTTTCCAGACTGTCCCCCATACACCTCATCCTGGCCCAGCTGGCAATGGAGTTTTATTGCTGCTCCTCGGAGCTGCTGTAGAGAGATCCTGGGAGGAGCTCCCAGCCCATCCATCACACACTCACTTGGCATTTATGAAGAACCTGAAGCAACAAATTTTCCCTGGGACATGTGTGGGTGTCGGTGTCAAAGACAGGCTCAGCAAAATTCCTGCAACCCCTGCCTGTGCCTGCTTCCTCCTGGCACCCACAGGACCCTCCTTGGGCTGGCCCAAGGGCTGCCCTTTCCTGGGAAAGGGAGTCCAGAGTCACCTTGGCCACATTGCAATGTGCCCATCTGCCATCCTGGACATGGGGTGGGTACAATCACGGTTGAATGTCTCACCAGAACAGGCACAGCTCCCACAGCCTAGCTCTCTGGTGCCAGGAATTACTGGGGTGGTAGTTTGGTTTTACAGACAGGCGTGGTGGCATCTGGAGTGTTTCACCCTGCTGTGCTTCCCAGTGCAAGACAGATGCTGGTTACTGGACCAAGTGAGGATGGTTAAACCACTCATGAGAGAAGGAATGCTCTCTACCCTTGGAGATATCCCAAAGCCTGTGGGCTGTAGCCCAGAGAATCCAATTTTAGCTAACACTGCTTGAGAAGGGATGGTGTTGGACCATCTCAGTGGTTCCCCAACCTCAGAGAGCTGTGGGTTGAGAATGTTGAGCCCTGGAACAATGGGGCAAATGTCCAAGGCCAGAGAAGAAAGAGAAATAAGAATCCAGTTTTGTTTTCTTTTGGAAGCATCTCTAGTTGCAGAGGATGGACAGCACTGAAGGGAAAAGCTGTGTGGTGGTGGAAGATGGAAGAGATCTAAAATCCTGCACTTCCTTTAGCTGTCCAGCATCACCAAAGGGAAATGCGGCATGTTTCCAAATAAAGCAGCAATTCAGGCCCAGTTTCATATTTCTCCTCCCATAAGCAGACGCTGGCAACAAAAAAATATGATAAACAATATACAAAATTTGGCAATTTTTTTCCATGAAGGGTGTTGGGATTCTGATGAAACCTGGCTTTGGGATTCTGATGAAACCTGGCTTTATCATGACATTGTGCTCTGTGAGAAAGCTCTTTCTGGCTGTGCCCAACCCTGTGTGTTGCTCAGCAGAGCACAGACGGCCTGACAACAATTTGGCTGCTAAAACTTCTAAAAATAAAAGCCACCCTTTTTTCTTTCTTTTTTCCCTCTCTGAAGAAACATTGCAGCATCACACCTTCTTCCCAGTACAAACTGTCAAACCTCTTCAGGCTGAGGAGCTGTGCATGACACTGAACTCCAAGATTGTGTCATTTTGGTTTTCTGCAGTATTTTGTTCTCAAAATGAGGTATTTTCTCTGGTCTTGGCAGAAAAAAAGGAGGAAAGAGAAGGTCATAGGGTGAGTTCAAACACTTTTTATTGTTTGGGGCTGCCCAGAGAGGAACACTTCTGGAACTGTCTACTCTGATGAGGAGGTGGAGCTGGAGCTCACCCCTCTGCTCTCTGGGGTCAGGGTGGTTCCTGGTAGTCTGTGATGAACTGGATTGAACTGGGAGCTCCATCATGAAGCATCCCCCCTCACTGCAGCAAGGCAGCTGCCTGAGGCTCCCCTCGTGCTGCCCCGGGGCTGTGACAGAGCTGGCACTGCTGCTGGTCATTGCTTAACGGCCAGGAGCCTTCAGAGTGAGGCTGCAGTGCAGAATTAAATAACAATAATAGATTATTTTCATCTGAATATGCATCTGTACCTACGTCTATACCTCTATCATCTATATCTACATTTAACAGGGCTTTACTCAAAGCCATGCACTTCCCTTTGTCTGGAATGTCCAGTTAAGAGGAATTGCTTTCAGTTGCAGATATTTTCAAGAAGTTTCTACTCTCCTTCCCAAGGGAAACGTGGCACCACTGAGTGTCTGTCAGGGGTTGGAGGTCCCTGGTGTCTTTGGGATCCACAGAGGTGTCACCCCTGTATTTGGCCATGGACAGGCCCCCCGGTCATGCTGGGCATCCAGACCACGAGAACAGCCCTGCCACTCCCCTTGCCCCTACTCTCAGCTCCCAGCTTTGTTTGCAGCACCTATTGCTCCCAGTTTTACCCATCTCCCATGTTTTCTCTCAGATTGTACTTCCCTGCCTGTTCCTGGGAATGAATCAGAGGCTTTGCATAATGGATCACATCCATTGTTTCTTCCTCATTAGACCAAATACTCTGGCAAGGAAGGAAATTAGATCACCCTGACATAATTTTTCCTGGTATAGTTGTGTTGGCTGGTTTTTATCTTTTATTTTTATCACAGTATTGGTGCTTATAAATTGTTCAATAATTGTTTCCAAAATTTTTCAAGGAACTGAAGCCAGCTTGGCTAATCTGTAACTCCCCAAACTCTTAATTTCCTGTATTTACGTAATTTTTTTCCACAGAAAAAGTGCTTTTTCAGCACTTCTCCAGGATTCTGTAAGCTTTCAAAATTTGTCACAATCTGCTGCTAATTGTTCAGAGGTTGCTTACATTTTCCAGGGTGATTTCTCTTGACCTCTGACTACTCAATGCACTGAGCTTCCCTTGCTACTTGTGATGGCTCTGGGCACTGGTTACAGGCTTGCACTCTGCAGCCACAGTGAGGAAGGCCTTTTTTGTGTCTCTGTGTCATCCCTTTGGTTCTTTCCACCACAAAACACAAATGCTGACTCATTTTTCTTTTCATTGCACTTCCAGTATATTTCTGGAACTTATTTCCTTGCCTTTTACGCCCCTCACTGGCTATAACTCTCTGCTCCTTACCCTTTCTTGTTCTGCCCCCGTGTGCTTGAGCTTCCCCTTTATATTCATCCTCACACCCTCATCCCCATTTTTATAGGATTCCTTTTTGATTTTCAGGACACTAAAATGCTCCTGATGCAACAATATTGGCCTTTTACTGTTGTCCTGTGGTTTCTCTGCAGCAGGAAGTTTAGCTGCTGCGCACCTCATATACTCTCTTTTAGTAACTTCCCCCAGTCCAGTATTTCTGATTTTTTCCTTGAGATGCCCTCCTGAGGCATGTTACTGGTGGAAGAGCATCCCCCCAAGTTTATTTTGTTCATGTTTGTGCAGCTACATGTCTTTTCTTGGATTCTCTCTTAATTTCAAAACCGATGAGCCACTGTTGGTGTTGGCTCTGCCCCACAGGTCCCAGCTGGTCCTTCCATACTGGTCAGAGGCTGGAAGAGCTGCTCTCACTCTACCACCCCAGA